ATCGTGAAGACTGTTGTGCTCTACCAAATGATAATAAATTTATAGTTACTGCTAGAACTAGATAAGCGTTAAGCCTGTTGAAGAAAGATGATGATGAACGAAAATAAGAAATCTTGGTCTTGGCTATTCGCCGGTTTTCGACTTTGGGACGTTCTGATTAGCTAAAAAGCAGCATATACACCGGAGATAGAGCGATTATGCCAGGTAGCTCTTCATGTCTAGCTTCTGATTATCTATATAAAATAAAATACAGATGAATTTTGTATTGGTTTAATACGGCGTCCGTGCCATCCCTACATAGAAAGTGCCAGTGTACTCTCCGATAGCACAGGCATTTGCAGACGAGGCTAGTTTTTGTTTTGTTTTTTTCTTATTGGTTCTCTGACCAAATTTTATCAATCTTCCAAGTCCGTGTTTTAAATGTACTCAGTTGTTATAGCTTTATGAGCTTTAGTTCTTTCTTGAAAAAGAAAATATTGTGCTTTTGTAGAGTAAGTTTATTTTACCTTTTGTTTGTTTAAGAGCAAAATCACGTTGGGCTATCTGATGTATTCACCGCGGTGAACCGAACCCCGGATTGTAACGTTGTAACTCCCTAAGCTTATCGTTGCCCCACGGGGGGGGGGGCGTTCTATTCTTTCATTAGCATTATTTTCATTAAAAATTTTGATTAGAATATTAAGTATATCTTTTTTTTTTCATTTTTCATTTTGTTATAAAGATTGTTTTATGTTGTTAGCGTAGTATATGGAATTAGGACTAACCTAAATCTCCTGAGATATTAGATATTATTAGTATTACAACTAAAAGTATCGCTAGCAACGAGAATATCTAACTGGTGAAACTATGTATTCTAATGATTATGGTCCACCTAGTGCCCCCCCCCCAGTGGCACAGCGGTATGTCTGCGGACTTACAACGCTAGAATCCGGGTTTCGATACCCGTGGTGGGCAGAGCACAGATAGCCCATTGTGTAGCTTTGTGCTTAATAACAAAACAAACAAACAAACCACCTAGTGGATCAACAGTAATTTTACGGAATTACAACGCTAAAATCCGAGGCTTGATTCCCAGTGGTGGACAGACCACAGATATCCTATTGTGTATCTTTACGCTAAAACAACAACCAAACAAATCATTATAAGAAAGAACATTAAAAAATCATCTTCAAATAGCTGTTGTAGTTATTGGGTTGATTTTTTTAGTTTCGTACCATGTAAATAGATTGCTTTGATCAGAAGTTAATATTAATCAGATATTTTAAGCTTAAATTATTCTTGTTAAGATAGTTTAATATTACAAATTTTTAAGCTTACAAAACAAATTCAAAACTATTAACATTATGGATCTGCTATGTGATAACTAAAAAAAAGAATGCATGTATTATTTTTCAGAGCCTGGCCTGACCAGGTGGTTAAGGCACTCGACTCGCAATCTGAGGGTCGCGGGTTCGAATCCC